GATTGCGTGGGCGAAGCCCGCAAACACATTTGTTGACCCCATCTATCTGCGGGCCGCACGCGTTCCAAATGCTGCACCTCTCCCTCTGGATCAAGGAAGGAGAGGAGGTCTGACACGAGAGCAGAGGTGTCGTCACCGCGGCAGCAAAGAAATATCTGTGCAGATATGCTGGGATGCGGGTTGGTGATGGATTATTTCGGGCGTTCATTCCAAAGAGTCCCAGATGGAGTCAAGAGAGCGAAGAAGAAAGCAGATATTAGTCAGGTGCAGATATGCCAGAGCATCGTCGTCATCACGTTATATGCAGTGGTCTGGCGAGAGGACGGGTGGCAGATGATGGAGAAATATGCACGGATCCATGGGTGTTGGTGCTGTAGGTCGACAAAATGTACATACATATGCGCGGGAGGGTGGATATTAATGCGTGTGATCTCCTTCCTTGCTGTGTGCTCGTTATCGAAACTGACTATGGGCTGATGACGTTGCGGAACTTCGTACACACAGGGACCAGAGTGGTCTCTGCTGGTTCTATCCTGCTGTGGGTGCGTGGTATGCCCCACTTGCAGCGCCCACGCTCCCGACTGATGTGTGTTGGTCTGTGTACTGGTTGGTTCGAATACGGTGCCCAGAACAAAGCGGAATGAGTGGCAATACGACCCAAAAATGGACGAGACGCCAAGCAGGCGCGAAGTTAAATGGAAACAGTTGATTGGCGGACGCCAAGTTAAACCTGTCCTGGCTTTGTTTGCTGACAAACTTTTGTAGCGCGGCCAATGCCAGCTTGGGTGCTGAACGGAGTCTTGGGCTGGCGAGAGAGAAGGAAGGGTGGGTTTCACACTCGTGCTTCGGCACGATTTGTTTCGGTTTCGTCGAGGAGGAAGCCATGTTCTTAGTGAAGGCATACGGCGGGAAATGCATGGAGACACACATAAGTCGGACCTCGAGCGAGCGGGAAGATTCGTGCGTACTCTGGGTGGATGTGCTCTCCTCCCCTTCGCCTTTTGACACGTTCCGAGGGGTAGCTTGTTGTGCACCGACAATTGTACAATAATATCGTCCTGCAGTGTTTCTGTGGCAGTTCGTGCATACTCTGGGTGGATGTGCTCTCCTCCCCCTCGCCTTTTGACACGTTCCGAGGGGTAGCTTGTTGTGCACCGATAATTGTACAATAGTATCGTCTTGCAGGGTTTCTGTGGCAGTTCGACATGTGACCAACTGGAGTATTCGGTGGGCATGACGCCGAACCAGCTTGCATCGTCTATGTAGTAGGGAGCTCACCCTAGCGAGAGCAAGGAATAGATGAGTGAGTGTGATTGCCGCAGCACGAAGACATGAACACCCTCGCAACACCTACGTTGATAGAGGGCGGATTTGGCCGCAAAAGGCAGTTCCAACGTTGGAATGTTTGGAATGATCAGTGGATAGGAATCTTGAGTCACTTTGACGTTGACCGCAGGTTCGCAATTCGCTCGCCAAAGCGTTTCGTTTCAGCCTCATTTCGCCCGTGAAACTTCAATCGGAATTCAACTGGATGGGCTGCCGCCTTTCAAACCAGAACCTCGAGATGCATCGACAGTATGTAGTTGAGTTGGCCCATATTGTTTTGTGACAATGCGGCTCAACGTCAGTTCTGCTGTTGCACTGACTCCTGCCATACCATGTCGAGCGATTCCTTGATATTCTCCTCGTTGGTACTAGACTACTCGTGTTGCGTATGCGCACTACCAGTCCTATCGCCCGGTGAATTCGACACTTCATTCTTGGGAGCAGGATGTACGGTGAATGGCCCTCGTAGTGCCGGCAGCGAAAGATTCAGATACTAGAGTCAACTGTTGGCCCCAGCCCGTGGTTTCTCAGTCCCTGGCGCGAGCCCTCTTTACGCCACGCGACCGATACCAACAGGAGCAAGCTGGTTGTCTGTCAAGGTACATCACTCTAAGTGGACTATCCACGCGTACCTGTATGGATGAAAGGCGAGGCCTTGTTCAAACCCTTCAGTCCACTTCTAACATTGATATCATTACGTATGATACATGACCTACTTCTACACAGCGACACATGGGCTCTCGTCTCCTCGAAATGGCAAGCGTTCGCGCGGCAGAATATTGCAGAAAGGGCAAACCCGAGGCCCCTTGCATCCTATGCGCAGCCCAGTGTGTGCAGCACGGCCAACTGCCCTGTCGGACTAGGAGGCTTCGCGTTCGTTGTTGGCCCGGCGGCGACTTGGAGTCGGCGACTTGCCGCGGGTTCGACCCCTGCCGGGGGGCGACGTGACGGGCGTGGCGTGTGCTGGCGTTGCTCCTGCAACGTTTGGCGTGGGGAAAATCAGGGTGAGGAAGAGAGGGCGAACGATGAGGAACTTGTTCTTGATTTCGAAAATGGACAGCGACAGTAGATCACTTTCACGTCACCAGGCTGCAGGGAACGTCACCAGGCTGCAGGGAACGTCGTGACCCTCGTAAAGCCGGGGTGGAACCCGCAAGACTTTCGCTGATCACAGGAAGGGGGCGTGAAGGGTTGAGAGGATGGTCCTGCCACCTGAGATAGGTGCATCGACTGCAGTTGTTCATTGCAGAGAGCTCACCTTCTGCTCCCTTGCCCTCGTCGTCGTCATCGTCATCCTCGTCGTCGGCGAAAACCGCCCACCGGTTGGTTGACGCTGCGGGGGAGGCCTCTTTCTTCTTCTCCCTCATTCTCCTCGCTTTTGGCACCATAGGGGAAGAAGCGGGTGGATGGCGAAGGGGTTGGTCACAACGTCTGGGTTGACGGTGGTGAGGGCACTAATGATGCTGCTGCCTAAAGAGGCCGATCATGCTCAGGTCAATCTTACTACAGGGCGTTCTGCCACATGTTTGACTTCGACGGCACACTGGTGGCTGCGGTCGACCTCGTTACAGACGCTCTCTTCCTTCTAGATTCCGTCGAGAACTCTTGAGTACGTTGAATGATTCACTCGCTTCGCCACGTACGACGGGTGCTCGCCGCCCGTCTACATCGCCAAACCGCTAACAAACGACTACGTGGACACCCCACAGTGTCAGGGAGCTAGGTTCAGAGCACCTTGGCGACAAGGTGTGATTGGAGCCTACAAAGGTTGATTGCGATATTCATACTTCGAACAACAATGCATGTACTTTCCCGGTGTTGCTGTCGCCTTGGCCCGCGGTGCCGATGAAACCTTCCCCTGTTGCGGGTCACGCCCCCCGTCCTGTTTGGACTCCTCCATTGACCGAAGCATCGCCTCCTCCATGTGCTTGAGGCCGAACCCTTCCTCGTCCAGCTCGGCGTCGCTGGCCGTGGACGCGTGAGAACCCTCGGCAACTTGCTGCTGCTGGGCTTGAGGCCCCGTGTCTTTCCCCTGGGTTGCTGCCTTGCGGGCAGCCTCCTCAACCGCCTCCGCCTGAGCTGAATCCCTCGCCATTTGCTCCCTCGCCGACTGAAGCAAGGACCGACACTCCTGACAAGCGCCGGAGAAGGGTGACGAGGGGAGTGTTTCTTGTAACCTTGAACACTTCGGGAAGATATTACATTGTAGCTTTGTCTATGCGTAGAGGAGCATACTGTTAGCATAGGCTACACGTCAGTATGCAAAGCTGTACTGTACAAGTTTCACCGGGAGATGCACAATTCATACTCACCACCGTATCGTCTGATCATCACGGCTGTGTTCTATCGGGGCCAGATAATCGGCGCCTGTCGTGCGTGCGGGTCCCTTCTACATTGTGCAGTAAGATACCTTCGTATCAGAGGGTGCGCGTACCTCGTACTTGGCACGACAAGTCGCCAAGTCACGTTCCGACTTTTCCGTCTTCCGTTCCTCCTTCATCAAGGCGGCGTTTAAAAAACGCATCCCTAAGCACTGGAGCTGTAGGTAGAGCATGGTTGGAAGGTTGGGGGGGTGGCGGGCAGGGAGATTTGCGGCCGGCGACAAACGATGCCAGGAGACTATCAGGGGGTAGTGTTTACATTCTGATGTACTGCAGAACGTATAACTGTGTTTCCAATATGTAGCTTCATGAATAGTTTCCGCTCAGCTGAACAACGCAACAAATCAGAACGTGTGAGACTCTTGTCACAGCACTTGCCTGCGTCTGGACGTTGAACCGGGCTACCACCTCGGTCATTTTCTGTAAATCATGCTCGGCTTGCGCCAACGTAATCCTCGCCCTGAAGGCGTCTTGCCGGTTCCGGATTCCCTCTAGCTGGTACTCGTAGCAGGCCGAGCGTGCCGTCTGCAGAAGAGCGCGGCGTACGGTATGCGGGGGACGAGAGGTTTAGTTGCCTTTTTCCTTTCCATGTCCACGTCGCGAATGTTGAACGTGCTAATGCTATGTACAGAAGTGTGCTACTGAATACTCTATGACACAGGGAGAGTCTTACAGAGGGAAATGGAAGGTGAAATCAGAACCTGTCAGAAGCTGTCACAGCACTTACCTGCTTCTCAGCTTCCGTCCTTTTTAACAGATTTGTCTTTGTCTGGAGCTCGGTTTTGACCCGCGCCGATTCAGCGCCAGCCCTGTGGGATTCTGCCCTGTTCTAGACAACAGCCAGCTGGAACTCAAAGCAGGCTGAGCGTGCCGTCTGCAGACGAAGGCAGCGTACGGCATGCGAGGGGGGAGATTCTTGGGACACATGTGTGGACCATGAACGCCGTTCCCAAAAACATCCATAGCAACGGAAGACAAAGTCCTGCTGACAAAGAGCTGATTTCGATGGCACAAAACACTGGCAGTCTGTGGATGAACGATCGGCAGGGCGGGCGCGGAAGGGATGCGGTGAATTTTCAACACTATCTATCTGTATTGATACGAAATGGACGTGAATGACCGATGGAAGAGAGTGTGTTTCGATAGCACTGACCGTATCGACCCGCCTTGGCCTGACGTGTATGCTACGGCAGCGCTGGAAAAAGTACTCACGTCTCGCTGGGCTTCGAAACGCAATGTCTTCTCTTTGGCTGTTGCTGTTTCTGCCCTTGATTCCTCGATGGTGTGCACCAGGGCGGACTCACGGTACGCGTGGTGCTTACCCCACCACCGCAGCAGTATCACCATGCCCAGGACCATGCCCAGGATCAAGACCGTGAAGGCTACGCCCCATATGGCCGTCTTCGACTTAAAGTCCACGAAGTCTAGCTCCAGCTGCTGGCGTTCGGCCAACTCCTTCGCCGCCCGTCGATACCCCGGTAGCAGGACCTTCGCCCGCGAAAACATGCCCGCAATCTTGTTTCCAACGCTGGGATTGGGACGGGATGGGGCAGGAATGCGAGCGCAAGCGGGGTAGTCTAGACGATGGTTACCGGTGGGTACTTGATGATACGTACGTCTTTTTATCTCTCCTAACGCCCCAACTACTGCTAGATTTCATCTCGGCCAAAACATCGCGAATCCCGCAACAGAAGCTTCGCCACCGTTCGCATCGGCACTCTTCCTCCTTGGTTCAGCGAGTTCGAGACAGTTGTCTACGTATAAACACTATAGTATGCGAATACTCTTGAACGCCTGCTTACGGTCTACATACCTCGTTTCAGTTCACGGTCGAATCAGTCGGTACAAAATGGAGCCAACTCGACCGGCTGCTACCATGCATGCTCTCCGTATGCGCACACCACCCCTCTCACCTGAATGCCATTGCTCTCGCCCGATGCCGGAGATTAATTTTGGCATTTTCGTTGTCCTGCTTTTCACTCAAGAAGGCCTGTAGTCCTGCTAAATTGCGGCGAGAGGACCGAAACGGACTGATGATTGGGTGAGAATCGTTCGTGCGGGTGGACTGGGGTCCTCTAGGAGGCACAATCAAAATATGACGAACAGGGTGCTGAGTCATTCACTAGCGATGTATGACTGCATACGGCTTTGAAACTGTATGCATTTCTACTTTGATCGTGGAGGTTCATCGGACTCTTCGAATCTAGACTAAAGCGCGTCGTCCGCTGCAAAAACATGTTCGAGCTTCGGAAACGTCACTGCCGCATCGAAACTGGCAGCTGATTCACATCAACACGTGCTTGACTTTCATCTTGGATCAAGCCTTCCTTGGTTACACTGCTCGTGATGAGCCGTCCCGGAGACGCACCATGCACTGCAACATTGATGTATGCACAGACCGGTGGTGCGCAGTCCTCTAGAAGAGCATTCAAGGCTTGAACGCAGACGACTAGACTACTTTTGCGTGGACGGGGGAGGGAGATGTGATGCGTACGTCTGTCGCGCTGTTGGAGCGCATGGATGTTCCACCACAAAGGCCAAAGATTTTCATTGTCTTCTTTCGGTCAGAACCAAACCCTCATTCAAACTATGTGTACGTAAGTACTCCTCTTGTATGCATATCTTTTTTTGCCGGAACTTCGCCTCCCTTTGGTCGTCACGGTAATTTTAAGACCATCGCTTGCCTCTTCAGCTGCGAGAACCCTTGCTACGGACAGTTTTCGTAGCGTGTGCATGGATGGGATTGAATCGGAAGCTGGTTAGAGCAAGCTGACCAGAAATCAATCTTGCCGTTTCACTGTCTAGACCATGCCGCACAAATAACCCGTTATGTGCGATTGTGAAGCCGTTTATTCTGGGACACGGTTGCTCTACTCTTTCATAATTCCCTACCAAGGAGTACGAAGTACCTGTGTACCGTATACTGCGATGAGTGTGCAGAAGACTGTCAATCTTTCGTCCCCAACATTCAGGGAGCTAGACACCTATCGGTAGCAGTGTCTTGTTTGCGGCCTACGCCACTTATTTATCGGGTGAGACTGTTTTGGTGATGTATTAACTTCACGGGAGGTAGACGACCATCCTTCACACGGACGAAAGAGGGAGTGCTCAAAGAGCGGCTCCCACAGCAAGGAGGGGCCCCGTGAATCATCGCGGTGCCCCCTATCAAACGGTTATCTTACCAGTCTGCGTGACACAAAATCATCCAGCACATGTATCCAACAGCAATGTTCGCAGACTCACGAAC